TGTGTCTAGTTTCAAAGTAATAAAAGTATTAACTAAATTATTATACACTAATCAACACAATCTAATCGTTAACTTGGGAAAATACCTTAACTAAGCACTTTAATGATAGAATTTCTTATTTAAGCCATCATAAACGACAATCATTCAACTTTCTTGTTAGTACGTAACATCTACTACGAATTGTAAACCAGAACTTCAAAGGTAAGGACATTCAATGGTTTTCATAATCTGTAAGTGTCGATTACTAATTTCCGATAGCACTGAACGAACACTAAGATTAGTCTGCGATGAGCAAAGCCTACAAATTAGGCTAGTAACCTAACTAAATCTTTTCAACTAAATGAAACAAAGTTATTTGATTCATAAGGATATTAAAACGCACGCATAAACAACAAATGAATTCAGAAGATGAAAACAAAGCACTATTTAATTATTACAAGTGAGTGAGAAAACGAAACATACGTAATGAATTATGTACAAATTATTTAATCATAGTGGGAATAACAATTACCAATCAAACTTGATCAAATTTTACTTAGAACTAATAACTATTGGGATTAATAGAACATTGATGACAAAATTTATTACAGGAATACGATAAAGTAATAATAATAATAATAATAATAATAATAATAATAATAATAGTGTTACGAGACAACAGAAAACTATAATCTGATCACACCCATATGGGAATGAGTGGAAAACCTCTTTTTGGTCAGTTGAGTAAGCTAAAAAAACAAGTTACTAAAAACTTACGCAGATAGGTAATGTTAAATAAGCATAATTATAAACAATATTGTCGCATCCCCTGTAATAATCTAACTTCTATCTTTGAACGCGAATGGGGATTGATCATAATAAGAGTACCTTCTGAATTTTAAATTCGTTGGATTGAGCGACATTGATTGTAGCCTACAAAGGGTACAGTATTAGGGGTAATGTCACTGATGCACTACGTCGGAGAAATTGAATTTCCAAATACTCTCCATAAGACTCAAAATATATCTGGAGGTTTTTAACTGATACTTTATCTAATTCACAGACCATTAAGCGGTATTTTACTTCTGATCCTTTACAAAAGGCCTAATTGTCTTAGTAAATGTTTAAATTAAGCTCCTATTTTATGACTCAAGTTGTGAGTTGTGTCCATCGAATTTCTCAACCCTAATTTAGATCTTATAAATTTTTCCGCTCTAAACTGAGTTTACAAAGATTATAGGTAAACTTTAATATATTTTGAAAACGGTGTTGTATATCCTTAAAACTAGACGGTTTAGCTGTCAACTTTCCTTGTCATCATCCTTAAAAAAACATCATTATCACTTAATTGATGTAGAAGTGAGAATTTTAATTGTTCCACTAGTATTATATCAGTTCATCCAACATTTTAAGACTGATATTTTAAGCATTTAAGCACCAATCTACTGATAGTTCTACTAAATATTTTTTTTATACAAATACTTATTAATATTAGAACGAATAGTTTGATAAAAATTAGTTACCGAGTATTATTTTTTTTATAAAAAAATATAAATACGAAGGTCATGGTAATGGACTCTTACGACACTTATTCACTGAACAAATGAAATGTTATTATTATATACAATTCTAATATAAAGTATACAAAAACACAACATTGGATTGTTGTATAACAGAATATATAATTAAATATTAGTTGACAAAACAATTATTGAATTAATCGGGTAGTTATGCAATTTTATCAAACATACATGGTTACTTTCTTATTGTGTTTTCATTTTAAAAAATTTAGTTACATACATAACCGTTCATAATACAACGAGGCTGGAGATTTAAATTTTTAAAAAAATTAATTTTATATGTTCAAAATGTATCACATTTAATCTCATATAGAATTCTTTCATATTAGATTATGGAATATATCAAATTGGTTATTAATCTTGTGATAGTTGAATACATAATTCTGATTATAGGCAGAGATAATAAATGGCTAATAGTGGAATCCAGGACGTGAGTTTTGTCCTATTTAAGACTCGATAACTGGATGTACCTGAAGATAGTGGTTATATAGACTCAGTACATAGGTGGATAACTCGATAACTCTGAAAGCGCACAGTACTAGGTTCGAAACAGATATATCCGACCGATGAGTCCTGAATAGGAAGAAACACGAGTCCTAGGTTTCACTTCTAGTCACCCCATACATCTGCTTATAATGCTTGTGACTTAAGGCAATAGCGAGGCAATCAGCACGGGATGTATATATGCAAATAATAGACTGATCAATTTCAGTTCTAAACGTCAATGGGAAGAGTTAAACTACTTATACAAGAATAAAAAAATTTGTTTGTAGTTATTGACTTCTAAGTTCTACCTATTTCAGATAGAAGGCTAGTATTTGGAAAAAATGCTCTCACAGTGTTAAATACCCATTTACCTGGTTTCAAGCCACACTCTAGGTACTCGAGCTAGTGATACTATCCCACTGATCTAAATAAATCTAGGATTCAGTGGCTGAAAGGAGGACACCTAGAAACTGTTGAGCCACCATTCGAGAACAGAGCTCGTAGTGTTAGCTTCCAGATTATTAATTTACGACACGCATCTTGTGTGTGATGTTTATACGTTGTTGTTGGTTCATGAGATTTTACCTCCAGTTTTTAACTTTTTTTTTAATGATATGACCTATCTTTGTAAGGATCAGTGATCCTTATATGACTATATATATTACTTCGAAAAGTGGAAATTGTACTGTTCGATGTCAGAAAAATAAAGTGAATCGAGTACATATTTCGTTTAACAGCTAACGAAAATAGCATTTCAGCTTCTAACGCAAGGATTAAAAATTCAGATTAAGCCACTTCTTTGAGATTATCTTTTGACGAAGAGTGTGTCTGAGGAATCTTCTAATTTTTTGAAGGTCCTATATACAAATACCTCAGGTAGAGTGACGGCATACAATCGCCTCTCCTTATTGTTCCATACAAGTGACGAGGTCAAACAGGGTTGTCAAATTCCACCATTCATCTGCAACTTTTCCCCACGAAGACATTCTAGAAAGGCTTCTGATAAAAGTAGGTGAGGGTTGTGTGGACCAGCTCTCTGGAGAAAGCCTCTTCAACCTTGAGTATGCAAATATTGTTTTACTGTATAATTAAACTCAGGTTGTCCAATTCACACCTAATCAGCTAACAATCAATGCCCGCAAGTATGACATGTAATTAGCACCTCCTAAAAAAATACATCTACATGACTAGTAGGAGCTTGTGCCTGAACTCACTCTTAATGATGAGCCATTAGAAATAGCTGGAAGTGTGAGTATTTATGGTGGCGTGAGTGGCAAGAACAATTTATGTATGGTGAAGATTGGAGGTGTTTAAAGAAATTTGTTTTCTTTGGCGCTGACGTGGTATTAGTCTTTTTGTGAAAGATCGGGTTAACAATGTCTCGACGAGAAAGGTTTTGATCTATGCTTGTGAAACACATTCTCTCCAAGTTGAGAATGTTCGGAGACTGTCTGTAGTTGATCATCGTTGTCTCCGAAAGATTGCTGACGTCCGATTTCAAAATCATTTTAGTAGTACAGAGATTCGGTAACGTGTGTTCGGGGCAGTGATAACAATTGGCATCGATTGCAATCGTATTGTAATTTTCTTTTACTTCATAAAAATGAGGCAACCCACACAGCCCATACTGACCAAATTTCAGTCAAAAATATCAAGAACGTTATCATTTAAATGATTTCAAATTGAGATTAACAGATCACGCTAAAATCTATCTTTAAGGCCTAATTGGTCTACCATATATACATAAACGGATAACAATGTCTATATTTCACTGAGTAATGTTGGTCCACTTTAAAGGTAAGTTTCTTAACGTTCTAACATGGAAACATGTCAAATTTAACCAAGCCGAAAACAATTCATTGTATGATAATCGCGTAAACAAAAACTCACAAAGTATTTACACAAAGAACTGCTGAGAAATCTCAACCAATTATTTAGTTAGAATAATGAACTAAGACAAAATATTATCAGAAATATCTGATCACATATAAACTTGTCAAGAACATTTTTATACTAAAATTTAAAGGTCAACTAGACGAATGGAAGATAAGAGGAAATATGGTTAATAGAGAAAATAATGTTTAAAACAATGCGAAACACCAGGCTGAATAATAAAACTATAATATCAAGGTAGGTTCAGGGTGAGAACAAACTGTTTTTGAATGCATAAGTAGGTTTTGACTTTTCATATGACCAAGGCTTCGATAAACCTTAGTAAATGCCCTGAACAATTTTGTACAAAACCAAAAAGACACTTATGATAAACCTTATGACTTATTTCTACTGTGTTCAACAATAGTGGAAGATGAATGTTTATTATCTGCTCTTATTGGATTAACTGATTATTTGTGTTCTGAAACCACTTTGGCATGTGTTCAGGCCCTCTAACTTACGGATCACGATTAATCCCCCTTATGTATGTGCGGCCACAGACAAACAAATAGGAACCGATAAACACAGTGGGATGTGACGCAATCATTTACATGCCATTTAGGTCTTCGCTGAAGCATGAACCTTGTTTGTTTTTTAACAAAAATTATCTTTGAGCAGATAAATTCTATTTATGATGTTACGTGACTTAATGTTACACAATACATTTACTTACAACTGAATTAAGCCTTCGTTTCAGCACAAGGCCATTTGATTAACTTTTGAATGGTAGGGTAATGTAGACAGGAATTTTTGATGTCAAAAAAGTAATAGGTCTCACTTGTGTTTTTCCACTGAACTGATAACAATCGATAACAAAAAGTGTCATTATAATTAAAATGAAACATGAAAGAAAGTATCCATACAGAAACTGATAAACAGATAAATCTTTTAGCCTAGTTTAATACTCCACAGTAATGAGCACACGCCAACTTCGCCATAGATGTCCAGTTAGTAGAGTTTTATATCTACAAACCACCTATTTCAACAACACATTATTAACAAAATAAAACAAAAGAAGCTTACCTTAAATATTTTATCCAATTTTACAAACATTGAACAAAGGCATTCGGAATGTTTGCTAAATGCTTCAGTATTATTGGTAATAATAAATTTGCCTTGAATAAAAACCAAGAATAATTAACATAAGAGTACTTTCAAAGAGAAACACAACTTTTCAATAATCCTATTCCTGAGAAACAATTTAGGTTTATAATAAGTGATAACTTTTATCGATGATGACATTCAGCTGAAAAGCCATAATAAATCAAGAACAGTGTTTCAGCCTAATTTGATGCTCTTCGGAAGTGCTACTAATGAGAGGCTTGTTTCCTAGGTTGAACGATGGGAACGATTCTGTTACATGTATGGTATCACACTCACTAGCTATATACCCAGCACAATGTTTTATCTCTAATATGTTAAACTAATTCAGATCGAGGACACGTTATCAGCCATACTAAAACATATACTACAACGATAATTAACAAGTTTACGAAAATATATACGGGAATACGCACAAATGTCTATCCATGTTCATTAGTCAGTTACAGCTTACTACGACTGAACACAAATCAACTGAGTTAAACTAGATTGAGTCCGCAACACATTAGCCTAGCTATCTAGTAGCTCTCAAGTGAGGTAATCAATGGTTTATTAGATAAGGTCAGTTTGTGAATGGTTATTAGAAACTTTTTCATGGACCAGATTGCCAGGCGAAACGTTGGATTTACTTCAAATTCATTCGCTGAGATTTTACAAATACATCCTCCCTCTTTAATATCCCACATCAACTCGGCGCCCAAATACTGTGAAACCATTCGATCAAATATAGACAGAAGTTCTTAAATATCTCTATTGTTATGAGCTTTCATAATTAGAGACAATAATTAAAAAACATTGAATTTCATATAGGAATCGAATAGACAAAAGAATGAGTTTTCAAATATCAAAAAACTATATGGATGAAAGCAATTCATGGCTTGTTTAATTCATAGGGCTGTATTCATAGAATAACAGACAATTCAAGTGACTATAACTTCCAAAGACCATTGTTTGTAATCAAATGTTTGGCAGTTTGTGAGCTTTATTAGATATACGATACAATTTTCATTATTATTTTCAGTATTACGAATAATTAGGTTGTTGTAAAATTACATATGAAATCATCTTTCATAGTTGATTGTAATATATTACTCGTATTGAAAATAAACGAAGCTATACAAAATATAACTAATTTCAAATTAACCTGAACAACCTTGATGAGGATAGATATTTCATTATGCTTAACTGAAATTTTGACCTTACTATAAACATTGCAGTTCAGTAGGCTAGTGAATTCAGTTCAATAATTTCTAGTCTTCAATATATATATATACTTGTGTATGGGTTGTGATACTGTTCGGGTGCCCAGACAGAAGCAGGTGGTTTTCTTAGGGGGTCACACCCCGAGCCTTTGACCTAAAGGTCTGATCCTTAAGGCAGTGGAGCATCGTGATGAGATGCAGTCCCATGGTAGCTGGTGACCAACGATTGGTTCATACGCCATTTGTTCCTTCAGGATACTGGAGCCCATGTGCACCATTGGTTTGTGATCCGGTTGAAACGCCGGACATTCACTTTTCGTCCTCTAATTTTCTTAAGCAACACCCCCGTTACGAGAGGGTAATGAGTAGGACTTCCTTGGCACAGACTGTATACGCATAGCCACGCGAGAGCATTTAGAGAGGGAGGGCGGGCCCACCCCACTCTCGGTCATACCAGGGCTTTCGGGGGCGGAGAGGTGGTCAGTGTATGACATGGTGTTGTGGTACGAAAGAAAGCTGCAAAGGGCTGGCTCCTGTTGCTCCTTCACGACTCCCTGGCTGGGGTCCAAGAGATGGTGCAACACAGTGGCTAGAGATGTTATCAGATGGTTGTTCCTCCTCTAACTGAAAGATTTCTTCTGGTTGAACCTTTCCGTTTCTCCCATTATTACTATTATTATTATCATTGTTATTATTACTGATATTACACTACCTTACACTAATCTGTCCGTTACTTTTCTTTTTTTTTCTCTTCGAATTCTCATTGTTTTGTGTGGCGCATATATATTTGGTGCTCTCTTGTATCAATATTTATGTGTTCAAATAAATAAATAAATGAATCTTTAAAATAAAGCGTACTTTTAGTTGTTTAACATTTGTCAAATAAACAATCTAACTAATTCAAGAACAAATTCTTTGTCTTATGGACTAGTATCTTAAGTTGAGTTAAATCATTTCAAGTAAAAGAAAAACACATGACGAAGTCATTTGTACAGTAAGAATTGTAAAGAGTTATAATTTTGAGGTGAAAACATTTGTTATTTAATCAGTTAGTTGCATATTCTAAACTTACTTCACCTACCTATGGTTTATTACATCTAGTTGGTATTAGTACTAGTCCTTACGGTAAGACTTGTAACCTAAAATGGAGTACATCAATCAATATACTTGATTAATGGTATGCGCATTGAAATTTTGTAGACTTTGACATTGCACCCAAATGCCTTGGTACGGCTGAGAGTGGGGAGAGTCAGCCCTATCTCTCTCTCGGAATGCTGTCACATGGCCGCTGCCAGGAAAGTCCTACTCATTGCCTTCTCGCGACATTACTGTCGTTTACTAAATTGAGAGGACGAGAAGTGATTGTCTGGTGCTTTAACCGGATTAGTGGATATGGAGAATCCACCTAGGGGAGTTGGGGAACCCTAATTCCAAACCAGTGGTGCACATGGTCTCCAGTATCCTGAAGGAACAAATGGCGTATGAACCAATCGTTGGTCACAGGCTACCATGGGAATACATCTCCTCACGTTGCTTCACCGCCTTGTGGATCAGACCTTCAGGTCAAAGGCTCCGTGTGTGGCCCCCTAAAGAGAACTACCTGCTTTGGTTTGGGCACCCAGATAGTATCCTAGCACTTACACAAAACGAATGATTCATATGACACACATCGATTTGGTGCCTCTTTGTACCAATGTTTATGTGTTTAAATAAATAAATAAACAAGACTTTCACATTGAACAATATGGTTTTTTACGAAAAGTTTGAACTCATCTTCATATTGTAAATAAGGATTAAACATTATAATGCATTAGTAGGAATGTGAAAAAAAAAACAACAACAATCGTGCACAACAAAAGTCATTACATAAATGTATAAGTTATTATTTATACTTACTTATATAATTATTCTCATCATTTCTCATTAAATTTAAATTGTGATGCACATAATTAACATTATAAGATGTAATTAAATTACAAGGTATATATTTTAAATGAATATCTTTGAGTAATACAACACATTGATAACATGTTAGATGATCTAATAAATTGTTGAATATTCTTTGTTTATGATTAGCTTGAATAACTATCATCTAAATGAAATAAACAAATAAAATGAACAATGATTTTAAATTGTGTGAGTTAAGAAAGAAGGAGGAGAAGAAGAGAGAAAAAAACGATTATTAAAATGATCTAATATTATCCAAAATATAGGTAAAGTAATGACTAATTGAATGAAACGGATTAACAAATATAGGTATCATTGTCTAATACTACCGTCTTAGAACAGGGTCTAGATTTATGCGAATATGTTTCGAGCATACTTTGATTCTTTGTATGATTTCGAACAAAGAAGAATGGTTTGTTGTTTTAATTTAGTTATATACTAATGAAAATACTAACGTTAAGTAAGGTGAATAGCACCAGTCCATTTATTAAGTTGATACTAAATTTTGAATTAAAAAAGTAAATTAGATGAAATTTTAAAAAAAACTATCAAAATGAATCACTCATTTGTACCGGTTATTTGAATTTTTCACTAGTGTTTAGGACTGTAAATTCATCAGTCACTTCTAGTATATGTGAATCTTCTGCGAATTACCACAAGTCACAAGTATTACAAACACAGTTGGATGGTGGATAGCTGTGGAATCAAGGAGAGATGTTTTGTTCTATTTGGGTCTTTATCATATGGGTGTATCTGAATCACATCAAGACGATTAATTCAACAGTGAATAGTTTTGAAGGAAAAGGTTGGTAGGACTATAGTTTGTGGGCGACCTATAAGCGACGCTAAAGTGACCTTGAGAATTTCCACCCACTTACACGGAGTAAATGAGGGTTATGAATCAGTAAGAGGAATTAGAATTATGATTTACAGTTGATGGTTAGGGTTAGGAGTTATGTTTGTGGTTTTCATCACAAACTAAGCATGAGTTAAAATGCCAAAATACTATTTAGTCAAATGGATGAATGTATTTCGTACCAAATCCAAGACTTGTATTCCTAAATCTGATTGATTCGTCCATATATTAAATTCACACCAAAACGCCATTACAAAAGTAGTAATTTCAAAGCAGATCTTATTATTTGATTTTAGGTATGCCCGAAGACAAGTTTCAACTACTATAAAACATAGTTTAAGAAGGAATTCCTTCCGGATACATCTAGCAACCTAACACTGAAATATAATGCACGGGATGCCGAGTCAATTAAACTAATGGCCATATTGTAACGTGATATACAGAATCCGATTGGCATTAAAAAAAACTAGAAAAAAAGGACACTGTTTACTACTCAGTTATCAATCATTATTTATACTCCGATCTACTGTAGACCCTGAGTATGAAGTGATTGGAAATGATCGAGAGACTAAATACCCATTCTTTTTTATTGGATATTATAATCTGACGACGTTTAATTAGAAACGACTGATCGATCGAGAAAATCAGGTATTGACCTCCAACAATTATAATTCAGCTGACTTGTTTAAGAAACGCGGAGTGTAAAACTGGATAATTTCAGCTAATTGTAGATTAAGAACAGTACGTCCACAAGTGATTGCTGAGTTTTATTGACCATTTAATTGACTGGTAATAAAAACTTTACTTATTAATTCACTAAAATATATTTCGGTGGATAATCTGAATATGAGTAAGTTGGATCGATACGATTTCAATAAAACTCAACAATCTCCACAAGCCTATACTGAAAAGTATCATGTGCTTCTAGAGAAAATTACCGGAATCCTATTGAGAAGGTGTGATCAGTGAAGTTCGACCGTGTCGGGTGTGAGGCAGTTACCTACCGAAGACGATGGAAGATGGTCACGCAAAATCATGGATTGACTGAATTTAGATGTTAACAATATTGGATTTAATTCCTGTGTGTGAGCTCGTGTATAGGCACTTCTGAGGAATTCAAAATTGGGACGAAACGGTTGTACAATGCTTCCATGTTTTGAATAGTGGTCTAAAATTGGTCGGTTCATCATTTCAATGAAACTCAACAATCTTCTCAATCCTATATTGACAAATCAGGAATTGAATAACATATACCTAGCTATCGATTCTTGAAATGTTTACTGAGCAAATAAGTTAAGCCAAGTTGTGTAGGATGAGAATTAATGAAAAGATATATTTCTTAAACGCGACATATGGCTTAAACTGACAAAAGTTAAATATGATTCTCAGTATTGTCATAATAAGATGTTATTGACCATCAACTCATTTTTTCTATAAAAAAAAATGAGATGATTTCCAAGATATGTAATCGACTTAACTAATTCATGATCAGTAAATGACATAAACATAGTCTAAATCAGAATTTTTATGATCACTATAAATATACTTTTTAATTTGACTACAAATTCATTTGTTTAGCATAGTTTATTTGGATTTAATGAATTTCACATATACACAAGACTTAAGATATATATATATGACCTTTCCAACTACATAGTTGTTTATATACACTATTTTTCATTCAAAACATCATTTAAATGAATGTACTCTTAATTGGTTGAACACTGTAACGAGTAGATTATGATAACACCTTTTTTTACATTTTATATTACCTAGAAAGATCAACTCTAAAATAGTAGTAATGATGTTTTTTCTATTGTTTTAATCATTAATTAATCTTCTTTTCTTAAAAAAATGTCAATCCAAATTTGGAGTAACAAATAGGAATCATAATTAATTTCAGTGTACACAAATCAACAGAATTGTATACTTGTTTTAGTACTAACTAAATAAGGCTGATGAAATTATGAATCGACAATATTAAAGATTAAACATTTTCCCATAAAAATAAAATGAATATTTGAGAAAATATTGAAATGTATTGAATGTTAATTTGTAATAATTAAGAAGATTCATTATTAAATATACCGATTAGATAACTTGGACTTCGTAGATGACTTAGCCCTCCTATCGCATACACACGGACAAATACAGATGAGGACGACTAGTGTAGAAGCAGTCTCTTCATCAGTAGGCCTAAACATACACAAAGGAAAAAGCAAGATCCTCAAATACAACACAGAGAGCACAAACCCAATCACACTTGATGAAGAAACTCTGGAAGATGTGGAATCCTTCACATACCTAGGAAGCATCATCGATTAACAAGGAGGATCAGATGCAGACGTGGAGGCGAGGATTGGCAAAGCAAGGGCCACATTCATACAATTGGAGAACATATGCAACTCAAAACAACTGTCAACCAATATAAAAGTCACAATCTTCAGTACGAACGTCAAGACAGTTCTACTGTACAGAGCTGAAACATGGAGAACTACAACAACCACAATCAATAATGTACAAGTATTTATAAATAGTTGTCTACTCAAGATACTCAACATCCATTGGCAGGATAACATCAACAAGACTATTCTGTGAGAGAGGACAAACCAACTTCTATCTGAATGGGAATGGGGAAAAGACGATGGAAATGGATAGGATATACATTACACAAATCATCAAACTTCATCACGAGGCAAGCCCTAACTTGGAATCCTGAAGGGAAGCGAAAAAGTGGAAGGCCAAAGAACACATTTCGTTGGGAAATAGATGCAGATATGAAAAGGATAAATAACAAATGAAGAGAGCTAGAAAGGATTGCCCAGGACAGAGTTGGATGGAGAATGCTGGTGGGTGGCTTGTGCTCCTCCACGAGGAGTAACAGGTGTAAGTAAGTGGTTATTTGGCGAGAAATATTAAATTTATGTTTCGAAATGAATAGTGAAGCTTATCGAAAACCAAAGAGAAATTTATACTTTATTGATAATAAACTCAGAAATGGCATTGTTAAACAGTTCAAACCAATAAAATAAATAAGACATTTGTAATATCCCAATCAGTAGAAAAATTACAAATTTCTGATGTTTCACAACTCAGTGTAAACCACTTCTTCAGAGAATAAATAACCAAATCAAAATTAATCTAAGTTGGATTATTTATTCTCTGAAGAAGCGGCCTACACTGAATCACGAAACATCAGAAATTTCTAATTTTTCTACTCATTAGGATATTTACAAATATATTACTTTTATTTTATTGATAACAATCTACCCAATACTGAATTTATTTGAAATTATCAAATCAAACCTACCAATAGTAATTTTCGATAAAAGAAAAGATCAAAATACAAAGTATGTATAACAAAAACAAATTGTTGCTAATAAAACAGCATTTTGTATTTGCTTAAATTTCCTAAAGTTTTTACTTAGATAACTTATAAGTACTACTGATGTGTGAGCATGCAGATAGTCTGACAGCTGTTAGATGAGTTATATATTGCCCTATCCTTATTATTATTATTGATAATTGATTGTTGTTGGATTGTGTCAGGTTTTTGATGTGGAAATATATATTTAAGTTCTAGTCAGGCTAATCACATGTTCTTGATCATCTAAGTTGTATTGAAATCCTGTAGAATAGACACTAAGAGGGAATCTAGTGTAGATATTCATCTAACGTAAATTGACATCCCATACATGTAGATGAAGTAGAAACCGAGCATTATAACAAATACTGTTTAGAATAATTTCACATTCAAATGGAACAAAAAAATCAATTGAACTAAACCTATAATATTGATTTACTTTAGTGATTACATGAATTTACATTGATAATTAAAAGATTTTGATCAGTATTTTAATATATAAAACTGGATATTCTAGTTCGTTTTTTTTATCATAAATGAATATGATTTCACTATGAATGGTATTCAATTAGAAGAGTTTTAGTTCATAAGTAGATGGATACAAAAGTTAGATTTGATTAGAATGTTATCACTAAATGAACAATTAAAGAAATTTACACTTCAATCAATCAATGAATTGTATTCTTTGTAATACAGAAATAATAAGTGTTAATATTCAATTCATTTTTGTATTAGTTGTTTGACTCTTCTCATTGATTTAAAGCAATTAATCCCTTTGATAAATTTCGATAATGTAATAAGAAGAAGACGAAGATTATCAGAACTATGTGATGATGATATATTAGCGCAATACATTTCGAACAATCTGATCACATATAATATACTTGTTAAGAACATTTATATATAAAAACAATAAAAGGTCAACTAAACTGAAAATGGGGTAAGAGGAGACAAGAATAATAATAATATGAACACAATTCGAAACCTAATCACTCTGGATAATAAGTCAATATTACCAGAGTAGGTTTAAGGTGAGAACAAACTGTCTTTGAATACACAAAGGAGGTTTGAATTTTCGTATGGCTAAGGCTTCAATAAACTTTAGTATACGCCCTTCTGCACTTTTATACAACACCAGTCTAGTTGACCTTTTAATTTTCATGGATAAATGTTCGAAATGTATTGCGCTAATATATCATCATCACATAGTTCTGATAATCTTCGTCTGCTTATTACATCATCGAAACTTCTCATTGATGTTTAGGATTGCAATTGATTAGTCTGTTATTGGCATATATGCATACTGTGTATATGGACTCGATATTGGCCGCACAAAGCAATCACTTTCCAAACGCATTTCACAACATTAATCAACGTAACTTTTAAAAAAAGAACGCAAAACAATCACCAGTCAAATACAGGAGCACTTAATCGACTTTGAACACTTCGCTTCAACGGAATTTACCTTCAAAATAATCTATGCAATCAATGAAACTGGATCGAAGGAAGGTCAAATCAAAAACTTATTCATTGCTGAGGAGTTGGTGATCAACCAGTTCAAGCCCAAACTCTGCATGTAAAAACGATACGTCCAACCTCTAATTCTTCTTTGACCCGATTCCATTCTGTATGATTTATTAGTCTTGCTTATTTTAACTTAATGTTTTGTAATTTTAAACCGTAACCTGTTATTATTATCCTTTAACAATTTTTTCTATAATTATTATTCAGCTATTGTTGTGACCTTTATTTTGTTTCCACTTTTCTTCATATTTGTCAAGCGGACATTTTTATCTTTCATGATTCTAACCCGTAAATTATTTTCATCCTTCCATTATTCTCCAACCTCGATTGATATTTGAAGTCTCGGACCACTTTATGATGCAATCTTTTCTATCCTTCTGTAGACATATATTTACCATTGAACTATAAATACGAATGCACAACTTAAGTAAATGATTTCGTCGAAAAAGAAATTTTCTTCGCTGAATTCTCTTTATTCAATGACATAATAATGAGTCATTTTAATTTACTTGTGATGATGAATAGAAAATTAAATTTCTGATATTTAGCGACTTCTTCAGAGAGTAAATACCGACTATTCACACCTACTTAGATATGCCTGAATGTACACTCACATATTGTCTCACCTTTAACCTGGATAATATGACACCAGTATAATACGAATCATTTGACCTATATCGAATAGTTTATTTTGTTATTCTATACTATTTAAACTTGAATTGATTTGACACCTCATCTCTGAAGAAGCAACTTATAGTAGGTTGGGAAAAACTAAAAATTTAATTTTCTGACCATTGAGATTTAACAAACGTATCATTTGTTTATTATGACCCTAGTTTGTATCTGTATTATCAATAACAATGAAATCCAATGCCCGTCATTTTAACTGTTAAAACTTCATTCAATTTATCTTGATTTACCCATTAGATATTAGTTATTCATAACTGAAAGAAACATGAACTAAGAATTAACCTGATTACAAGCCTATTTGAAACTGATAACTTGGTATATGAGATTGGAAGCAGCAGCTGCATCTGGTAACTACCGGAAGCTCTTCCAGCTCATCCGAGCCACTGGCAGCAAGAAGTCTGGTGTGAGTGAAACAATCTGCGAGGATGATGGGATGCCAATCACTAACATACATCGACGTCTTGGACGATGGGCAGAATTTTTCGAAGGGCAGTTCAACTGGCCTGCTGCTCCGGCAACATCGGTCAGGCTGTCCTGCCCTCCATGGCCGGTGACGACTGATCCACCAAACGAGGAGGAAGTCCGCAAGGAACTCCAACTCTTGAAGCGTTACAAATCACCTGGCCCAGATGACTTACCTCCGGCTCTTTTTAAAAATGGTGGTGACTTTTTGACTAAGGAATTGACGACGTTGTTTACAAAGGTTTGGGAACTAGAGTGTGTACCAACGTCATGGAATGAGTCGATAGTTGTCCCTATCTTTAAAACGGGTTCACGTCGTTCCTGTAACAACTATCGGGGGATAAGTCTACTTCCGATTGCGTCCAAGCTATTGGCTTCCGTCATACTTCGTAGGTTGTTCAAAACTCGGGAAAGATTGACTCGCGAGGAGCAGGCTGGGTTTCGTTCTGGTCGAGGATGTATTGATCATATCTTCACCCTCCGCCAAATGTTAGAACACCGCCATACTTATCAAAGGCCAACAATCGTAGTGTTTTTTGACATCAGGGCTGCCTTCGATTCGTTGGACAGGACTGTTCTCTGGGATTGTCTATTGAAGAAGGGTGTGCCTGAGAAGTTTATTAACATCCTAAAAGCCCTATATAAAAACACCTCAGGCAGAGTGAGGGCATACAACCACCTCTCTCCATTGTTCCATTCGAGTAGTGGGGTTAGGCAGGGTTGCCCAATCTCACCATTCCTCTTCAACTTTGCCATCCATGACATTCTGGAAACAGCTCTGATGAATGTAAGTAATGGTGGTGTGGATCTGTTACCTGGAGAAAGACTTCTCGACCTTGAGTATGCGGACGATATTGTCTTACTGTGCGATAATGCCCAAGGCATGCAATCCGCACTTAATCAGTTGGCAATCAGTGTCCGTAGGTATGGTATGTGTTTTGCACCTTCGAAGTGCAAAGTACTTCTACAAGACTGGCAGGATTCCAATCCTGTACTCACCCTGGATGGTGAGCAGATAGAAGTAGTCGAGAAGTTCGTGTATCTGGGTAGCTGCATAAGTGCTGGTGGGGGTGTGAGTGATGAGATCAATGCACGTATAGTGAAAGCCAGAGTGGCTTATGCCAATCTGGGCCATCTTTGGCGCCCTCGTGATGTTAGTCTGGCTGTAAAAGGTCGGATCTACAACGCGTCGGTGAGAGCAGTTTTGCTCTATGGTTGTGAAACCTGGCCTCTCCGAGTTGAGGACGTTAGACGACTCTCTGTGTTCGATCATCGCTGTCTCCGAAGGATTGCTGACATTCAGTGGCAACACCATGTCAGTAATGCAGAGGTTCGGCATCATGTGTTTGGGCACAGAGATGATAATTCAATTGGTGTCACCATCTTGGAACACCGACTTCGGTGGCTTGGACATGTTCTACGAATGTCGTCTCAGAGAATTCCACGTCGTGCATTATTTGCCGACTCTGGGACTGGTTGGAAAAAGCGGAGAGGTGGTCAGTGCATGACATGGTGTCGTGGTATGAAAGAAAGCTGCAAAGGACTGGCTTGTGTTGGTCCTTCACGACTCCCTGGTTGGGGTCTGAGAGATGGTGCTACACAGTGGCTAGAGACGTTATCAGATATGGCTCAGAATAGAAGCCAGTGGCGATCCTGCTGTAACCTTCTCTTACTTTCTTCATAAAAAGTGGTTGTGTCTCCCTTACTTGAAAGATTTCTTCTGATTGTACTTTTCCGTTCCATTGTTACGACCACACTAAATCTCTTCGTTATCGTTCTCTTTTGTGCTCCTTGGTTTTTTTTTCTTTTTCTATCTCTTCGAAGTTACATTGTTTTGTGTGGCGCATATATATTGGCGCTCTCTTGTACCAATATTTATGTGTTAAAATAAATAAATAAATAAAATATGAGATTACAGTAATGAAATTACTTGAAAATATGGTAGGATAATCAGATATCTAATATGAAAACAAAATCGTAACATTTATGAAAATTTCTAAAATTCACTTACATCTTTTTTATTGTATATTTCATTGTTATTCTTTAAATCAGAATTAAGACTGATCAATTTCGAACCCAATAAAAACCAGTAAAAATCAGTGAATAGATTCCAAACAATATACAATGTATACTTCATTCTATTAAATAGTAAATAATAATTTAAACAAAATTTTACAATGCTATGAAAAACAAGCAATTGAAGTAACAATTCAGATCATTTTTTTATTATTAATCATCGGAAATCAGGAAACATGGAACAATACAAATCCACATTTACCTTCATGATCTACCGGTAAATTTAAAGACAATAGTTTGTAGACGGTATATCATCTGTATGATATGAATGTTTTTGGTTCAATCTTAAGCGATGTAAGAATTTAAAAATGATACATAAATCTAACTAAGTAAACAGATACGTGAAACATCTAAATATATAAGCAGGTTTTAGTTTGAATAATCTATCTTCGTAAGAATAGTCTAGAAATGACTAAATAGTGTGTGTAACTAAGGAAAACCTAATTAAATTAGAAAAGAATCGTGTTCGATGAGTTGTACTGGATTTCTGCTTTACTCCTACACAGGAAAAAAATTTGAAAAGTGATTATATATGTAGTTGTATTACTTGAACGGTATGAAATACAGTTTTAGTAACAAAGTATTTTTCAATGGGAATCAGAAATACAATTAGTCTGAATCAACTTTTTGCAGTGGACACGCTGAAATATAGGAGTAAATAATTAGTTTAGAGGGCGTATGGTGTAACTGATATTTTTCATGTTAAACATCTAGCTAGAAAACCAAATACGAAAGGAAAATTCACAATGGGATTTCGTTAGGTAGAAGGGGGAATTCGCAGAACATGAACGAGACTGGTACATTAATTAGGGTAATGTTGTTTGTGTGTGTGTGTGTTGAGGAGCCTCTTAGGTCTTGGGCTTTTTACTAATCACCTCTAACACCCTGACTTTTGAAACCATTATGTGATGTATTGATGCAACAAACATGTAAGGATCAGTGAAACACATTTATTTTCACACTGATTATTCAATCAAACTAATACTAATAGCTTATAACTATATTACAAAGTATAACATTCAGTGATTACGGAAGAATAGTCTTTGGTGAACAACTAGCCCATATATTATATTGGGGAGATCAACTAAAATGAACTATGCAGAAGTTTTAATTCAAATAATCAAGTTGATCAATAGTTTTATTTGAGAAAAAGAATGTAAGCACACTGTTGTTCTTCCATATATCCTAACTTACTTAGAAATATAGCCATCGTACTGTAAATCTACTTTGGAGTTTTTTGTTGTGTTCTTATTTCCATAAAACAAGTTGGGAGAACTACTGTAGTTATCGTGCAAATCCAATGTTTCTATCAGCTTTGTATACTGAAGATAAAATCGCCTTCTGTTTGAACTAATCACATCAGTTTTAGACTTCTGAAATAGAAATATACAAGACAAAAATTCCAGATACTATCAACTTTGAAAGAAACAAGTTATACATTTTCCTGTTGTATTTCCCTCCTAATTAGTAATCATTTAAATGTTAACTTAGTGAGCCGTGACCCACTCACCTCTTCCAAAATATGGGATTCTAATTCATACCCAATCAGTATTAGATTCAGGGTTGAGACGCATTAATAACATCTACACTAGACTGGGAATATATGTTTCCAGAAAAAAAAGGTTCAAGAACAAAGTATTCTATGTATTTAAATAATTGACGTATACTTACTTTGCATAAATTATGTTGAATTTAGAAACATTCATCAGAAAATCCCAGCATACCAGAAAGATACAAGTTAGAAAGTATGCGAATTTAAGTAGAAAAAAATCAGAGCCATTATAACATGATCCGCGAGAGTAAACAAGTCCATAAATAAATATACACAGATATGATACATCGCACTTAATAGGTTTACTGTGGAAAATTATCATTAAGTGAATATGTACACTTGACATAGGAGAAATAGCCCGTATTTTTTTAAAAATCTACCTCATTCACTTGAAACAACGTGTAGTAAGAAGGCAAAGACTAAACAGGATTAGGCCTAATTACCACGAAAAAGGCTCTTATTAATAATAATATCTATCCTGAAATGATGAAATCCTTGATCTATTCTGCAAGAACGGAACTAAAGTCACTGATTCGTTAATACACCCTGAGAAGTTAACTATTAAAATCTCACTGTCATTCTAGGGCTTCACAGAGCGTCCTACGAAAATGAGGAATTATTCTTTATGTTTAAGTTTCGCCTTCAGTTTTAGCAGTACTTACGTATGTGTTAACAGACAAATGTATTTTTGTGTTTTATGGGTTTAGAGGGAAGTTCATCCCAAACATGCTAGCACCGCTGCTCAAGGCGATTAAAGGATTGGATTTTGTCAGCACATTCGTCAAATAGGACTGAGTCACTACCGTATGCTAAGTCAGTGAGCGAAACTCCTAGTGATCAATCCTTTGAAAAGGCAATTAAGGAAAATGTTAATTTTACGAGGAAGTCGATAACGAGATTAAATAAAACTGGGGAAGGTGGGTCACTTTGAAAGAAAACACTTGAGGTTAACAGTTTGCCATAAGCTCTAACTAGATTAATAGTGTCTAAGTAGAGAACCTTCACAAGGTTGTACTTCATTGATACGACTTTTAATGAAAAACAGTGTTACAGAATCTATCAGTCAGCAGAGCTAAATGTCGACTCAGTGTCAAGAGATACAACTATAGTTGAGTGATTTGAAGCGATCTTTTTTTCATATCAGCGATGTTTTATTTATACAACTGTCTTGCAAATCTGATCTACTTCTTTCTTCTGCATGCCTTTGACATGATAATTTGAACAGCTATGTCAGAAAAAAAACATTGTCGGATCTGGTACAAGTATATATCAATTTCTGTGTTTACACTTCATATCAGTAAATCGACGGGAAATCGATAAAGAGAAAAGCAAAGTAGTGAACAGACTAAGAATAACAGTAGCAGAAACTGAAAGTAAGAAGTAAATAAAATCGGGCAATCAAGCATTTACCGTCATATCGTATTTAGGAAGTAAATAAACATAAACAAAATAAATTCACCTACACTGGTTTGGCGTATTTCCGAGGGACACAACAGTAAGTCTCCACCAACTCCCATCGGTTGTGACGTACGATGGGTAGCCGTCTGGCAACCAGAGAGAAGTTAACGGAGCAGAAGTCCGCTCTATGTTACTCTATGACCGTAAAACACGGTCTATGTAATTTGAGGACATACGTAGGCTGTAGACTTTTGATCCAAAGTTTCATCAAAGAACAGTTTGAGCAGCATAGAAGGACCGAGCGAACGATGTCGATACAAAGTATTAGGTATAGGTCGTTTGATGAGGTTAAGAGTCTTTATCAACTGAGGAGGTTTGGATATACGTTACGTGTATCTACTACTACCTCTAGAGGAGACTTTTGATGGTGTAGGAGTAAGTTATAAGAAAGCTGAGAAGGAGCCAAAACAAAGCGTGATATTATTCCATGGAATTTCTGGACTGGAGGTCCGAGTTACGCTAGTAAATAAAGGATATCTGGTTAGAGTCCTTACGATAACCACGACCAGTGGTTGGAACCTTTCGGTGAAATAAATGGCTCAGAATTATTCACATTGGGAGAGATGGATTCACTCTTTATCTTACTTTAGCTCATGAGTTTTAGTATTCCTTCATACATACCTTTTCATTCTGTCCTGTCAAACCATATTCTTAATGTTTGGTATTTCTCACTATCACTACTTTTAAAATTTCTTAGACTTTTTTGATATTTATCTTGTGGTGATATAGCGACTAAGGAGAACAAGCACTTTTGCCAAGCTCTACATTGATTCTAACCAACAGACTGAAAGATAACAGTTGTTATTCGGATCCTAGGATAGTGAGTTCGCACTTCTATAAACGGTAGATGGATATATAAACGGCAATCTTAGCGTTTTCAGTGAGAGAAAACCATAAAATTTTCAACTCAACATCCATTTACGATCTTGCTTTAAACTAAATTAATGTTAGGATGTGCAGAAAAATATACCAATAGTTATCATGTTAAGTCTAATGTTGTCATTGGACGCTAAATGTACATTCCCTATTGGTCGATACTTACTTCACTTGTTTAATATTGTGTAAATGTTGTTTTCTATTTTTATGGTACGATGTGGTATGTTTGGTTAGTATATAAATAGAGTATGTCTGAAATATAATGATTCATATCTCAGAGGCTGTGACTTTCGTTCTGGACTCAACTGGCTGGGATAGACAGGGAAGCAGCGCCAATCAGGACACTAGGTCGTTCGTACGTGTTTACGTGTCACAGAGGCGATCGATATAAACGCTGCTTATCATAACCTGCAGTCTCACACGTTACAACAATTAAGTATGCTTATCTGTTTATTTTTTAAAAATAAACATGCTGCGATAGACGATTCGCTTTTAATTTTGTGTCGTATAACATTCTCAACCACGTATAACGACTGTCGCCCTGGGTTTCAGCAGAGACGTTCTCATACCTCCCTCCACCCACATAGACTATCCACAACTACTTAGTGGACTTATGCCATGTTTTGGTTTAACCCAAAACAAATATCACATCTAGAACAACATGATCATATTTATGTCCTATAAATGTCTGATATTAGATGGAATGACAACTAACTTTGCCAAGTAAACTAGTGACATAAAGTGGATATCACATGTATTCAGTAGGTAGCCAATAGGAAATCTTTGTGTCGAAACTAAATTACAGCGATAATGAAAGTTGTAGTGATAATAATAAGCGGACAACAATATGTTGAAATAGTTTCACTTACTTCATAAAAATAATCTAAGTGTAGAGAATTGATTCTTTCTTGAATATTTTCAAAAGAATACATTTTTTCCTGCCGCGCACAATCAAATGATGTCACATTACTTATGTTTGTAGTAGAAATGAGTTTGCATGCTGATTCAATAATATTCTGCAACATAGCGAGTGACTTTATGAAACTCTGCAGCCATTTTTGAACGGAAAAGTGTAGCGACAAGTGAAAACATAAAAAATGGTCGTATATATTAATGGATCAGTGTAATACAAAATAAATATAAGTAAGGAAAAAACTTACTCCTTTGAGTGAAACACTGATAAATATACTAGCTTGTCCGTTAGCAACCTAAAGCTATACATCAAGTTTGTATCATAAATAATACTAATTGGGAAGACTTATGTCTTTATTTTGTTGATATTCAGAACTAAATGTATTCTGCACCAATCTTCGTTTTTGCTCTATTTAAGATTATTCAATCTTTGTTGACACTATGGGCTACTTGAACGAATCATTCGATAACGTCTGTGTTTATTAATTGACTATACTTTGACTAGCTGCAATTTCTAGAATGTATTAAACTGTATCTGGAATTCGTCACATGAGAACGTTCCAGTATCCCAATGCTAGTGTTCACGATGAGACTCCAACCAAATGCTAGAGCGTTATTCATTAAACCATAGAGCAACTATTGCTGTCAACATTTTCAAAATATATTATATTTATCACCAGCTGTAAAGGTTTGTGTCATAAGCGGTGGGTAGCAGTGGGATTCAGGACGCCTTCTGCGTTCTGTTTTAGATTTCCGTTTCGGATGAATAAGTGGTGATATTAAGACTGATACTCAAGTTTATAGACCCATGTATCGATAGTGACAGATCAAATTTAGCCCAGAATACCGACAATAGGCGGTAATTTCCGGGTTACAATATCAGTGTGAAAAGCGAAAGTGAGATGCGAGTACACTCAACTGACAAATCTCAAATAGGATGGAAGATATATCTTGGATTCCACAGTTAGCGACTGTGTTCATAATTACTGAGGCACAGAATAACTGAGAATCGAACTCCATAATCAGCAACCACGTAATGAAATTTCTGAATGATAATTACTCATTCGTATATCACTCGTCCTGATAACCATTATAAAATAACTTTCCAATGATGTATACATTTCAGAAGATAATGTGAAGCAAAGACTACAGTTTATTACTATACAGCTCAGACCCCAAAGCCATAGGGACACGAGGCGAATACGAACGGATATATGAATGTGGATGAATGAACGGGATTTAAAAAGCAAATACATATGATCAAGCGGATGAATTACTGAACAATTTAAGTAACTGGCTCTTTTGCTAGTAAGAGGAATATGTCCGTAGGCTGTAACCCGCGTTCAAGTATAGATGCAGATAAAAACATGATAGTTATAATACAAAGATACAGATAAACTATTAATCACCGAATGGCACTATCGGTTACACAAGTTAATTGAAGGACTTAATAAAATCAAAGTATAGAGATTAAAATGTAGGTGGGGTACTATAAACACAGGCTCCATCTCTTATATGGGTGGAGTTGCATACTCTGAACTTGGTGATCTAATCTCGAAGCTTCGATTGCCTTTGTGCACAGGAACATTAGCTCAAACTCCATATAGAAGTGAGTTATTTGGATTTGTCGACACATAAATAACAACTTGTTCCTGTCAAGCTTGATTTGAATGGATTGTTATTACTGTCTAGAAGGGCAATGAAAGTTTCACAATGAAACCATTCAGGTCAGGGTACACAACTCTAACAAATCGTCTATACTATCCATATGTTTTAATAGTATATATACTTTATCTAAGGCCGCAGAATAACAGCAAGATTAAATTGTTAACAATTCAACTGAGCATAACTAATAGTTCCATTATTTCACGGAAAAATAAATGAAGTTTTCATTTGATATATAAACAAATGGGATAACTAATCATACGGATGTATATGCGAGCATTCCCGAGCGTGGATTAGTGCAAAATTTAGTTTTTATTAGCAAGTTTCATTGGTAATTATGCGGCAATTGACAAACTGTTAAATACGGAATGTCTAAGAAGTCTCACTCAAATAATAGCTAACTAAACGAAATATACTGTTTCTAATAAATCATCTAGATTCAAACCTAGCGTAACCATCACCGTGATTCGTATATTGTTTAGATAAATCCTCAGTGCGCATCACAAACGTAGACGATAAATCAGAGGTCTCACCTACTAAAAAGCTATCCATAGAACTGATAATAAATATGGTTTAAATTGTGACTTGGACACATAAAAAAAAAGTGAAATACCTGAAAGAATCATCCACAAACTAATTACTAAATAAAAGCCACTCCACATCACATACCTTAAAAGTGTTTCCAAAATCACTGGTGTCTTCAATCCAAAAACTAATTTCTTTATACGGACTACTGGTGTACAAAAAGTTTATTATCCATAGTTCAATCTGTCCCAGGATTCTTTGGCAGTAGTCCTGAAATAACTTCAACTGAAAGGACGAATGAAAGTTTTCAAACGTGAAAGAGGGCCATATATATAATCCTGGAGAAAGCATGTCAGTGGCACATTTGTTTATTTACTTTAACTCATTTATCAAGCTCATGTTTATGCACCTGATGTCTAATACATAGTTTTACTGTTGTAACCTTGTGATACTTATAACATGAACATCTAAACTGGGATAAGTGGAAGGAGACTCAAACCTGCTGCCTGAAAGTTGAAAGTCGAGTGTTCATAATAAACGTCTTCGTAAATATTCGGTACTCAATATCTTGGAAACGTATGTAATTATTTTTTTAAGATTAAATAATCGAAGTTAATATATAGTAAATGTGATCAGTGGATTTTTAATTTAGAATGCTTAAACCAAAACCTTTTGTCATTAAATTACATGACAATTTTATTCGATTAATCAAAAAGAAATCATCGCAGCAACAAGGAGTTTCCTAAGGAGATAAAAATATACAGTAAGTAACAGATGATGGATAGAGTTTATTTATTTAAATGGATGCGTTCAGTGACGTTGGATGGTTCGGGTTTGCCACAGAGTTGGCTAGAGTTTCGAGGTATTTTAGGTCCCAATCACTCACAGGACCGTACGTTATTCTGTTAGACACTATAAGCAAATTCTCGTCACGTTTCGAGAATACATAATAGATATATGGATTTGAGAAAAAGATGAGTTAGATGTCAAGCCGTAAAAGCCAACACAAAGAAACTCTCCATTGACAGTAAGCCTTGAATTTAATGTTACTCGAGTCTTTAACATTGCACGGAGTTGTTAATGTTGAAAAACAGTCGTTTCAATGAATTACGTCGGTATCTTTGAAAGTTATTATCTTATGATCAATAACCTAAAATGAATTCATTCCCTTTTCTTCGATTCGCACTTAACAGTCTCTCTCATCTTACAAAAGCCTAGGGCAGAGAATGATTTCGGCATTATATTTTTGCAACACAAGAAGCTTACTTCCAGCTGAAACATAGAAATTTATATACCAGTTTGAGCATTTCGGTAGTATAGTCTATTCTTAACTAATGGGTATATTTGGTAGATTTTTCGGTTTTACATTACTATTTAGTGGATTTCAAAGGTTTAAAACTGGTTTCCATTAACATTCATCAGTATTTTTTGAAAATAATTCGGAAATGGTTGACAAAGTAACCCAAATTAGTGTCGTTATAGTCACGAATATCAAACTTACCTCGGTGCGAAATGTAAGTACATTTGCCAAACGGAAATCATTCTTGGAATATCTTATGAGAATGTCTAATTTTGAGTGTAAATTGTCGAGGTCGTCAAATATATTTTTTTGGAGATTCATTCACTGTCAATCAAAATGTATATCGGTTTTAAATTACGACTGAAATAAAGGTTCATCAAATATCCATAGTTATTGAGACAAACAATATTTACGATAATGATAAATACATAAACCGTAACATAATCATGAGAAAGCAACAGAAGTACAATTAGTCACTAAGTGAACAAAATGAAACTATCGAAATGCTCAGTATAATAATATATCACTAGTATTTTACAATTATCAAGTCAGGTTAGCCATACATAGGTAACCGTATGCACAGATATAATATGCTTTAAATTGTTCTTTTATGGAATATTTTTATGTATAAGGATATTCCAAAAACATAGATACCTGTTTGAAATGCTAAAGTAAGATATCTCTCTATCGGCCACACAAATATGTCACAACGAGTCATGTTATTTGTCAAATATCAGGGCCATAAGTAGCTGGATAAAACCATACCATCTAACATGGTCTTGAGGAGTATCAATGAGCTACTGAATGGTTGATACATAGGTTTTTCGAGGAGTTGACTTGCATTTGCTACAACTGACTATAATTATTGAACTTAAGACCTAGTTAGTTACGTTTAACACTTTATTTTCACATAAAAATGATGAAACACATGCTTTAAAGGGTAATCCAGTAGAGCTTTGGGGGTTATTATGTTTATTAGTGCAAACCACGCACACACTGTAGATGTGACTGTAACTAGATATTTTAATAAACCAAAGAAATTGGCACTTGCTAATTAAAGCGCCTACTTGAACATGGGCAATAAATGCCACGTTCTATTGCTAGTCTGCTTTGAAAAACACTTCAGTGACTCACAGGAACGTTCGCAGTTGCTGATCCTATGGTTGGTTAGTTTGTGGTATATGACAGACAATGCCTCACTGAATAAAGACTGCTCACATAATTCCTAATAACGCAAGTAACAAATTGAGATTATAACTTTCATGCTCGATATTCTGGGTTTAATAAAGAATATTAAAAAGATCCTGCATTAGAACCAGGGTAGGAAAGAAATTTTACCACAAATGATTGGTTGAAAGTGTTTCTAAACAACTCCGTTAGAGTTTTCAATCAACAATATTTTCGAGTCATTCGCAAGTTGTTCAGTGGCACATTATTGCAAAACGTCTCACAGACATGATTTTCTAGACAATTCACCTATTACATATGGTGATCAACTACACTTTAATTCATATGGCGAAACATTTCTGCTAAGCAAAGACTACTAATGGATGCAACTTCAGTGTGAGAAATTCAGTAATTTAGAAGAGTTAGAAGGGGCCATATCTCTTGCTTTAATAGATCAATTTAGAAAACTTTCCCAAACAGTGTTTCAATCGAAGTTCTATTTTGAATAGTAGCACCAATCAGAACTTCATGGTCGGCAGTAACTTAAAAAATCGATGAGCAGTACAGTAAAGACACTATTTTTTAAGGCTAATTACAACATCAGTATTACTGTAATCTTTTAACGAGTCCAGTAGAAAGCCTTAGTTTCAATTCCAAAACACACGTTAAACAGAGGATTTATAAACTGGCATCCTGATCAAGAAAGCTTGGACTCAGTCAGATGGTGTTCACTAACACTAACCCAGACTCTATATGGTTCTTGAGAGAAGTTGATCTCGGGTGTATGTATGAACTAACGATTCATTTGACCGCCTGACTTTGATTTCCAAATACAATACGTTCGTCCGTTTTCGCTTAATTTTATTTGTCCTTAGTTACGTTATTTCAGGGATTCCTAGTTCGTATAATAATTCGAATACTTCTAATCATCACACGATCCTAGTACATACACAGCGATTTTATGGTTAATTTCGAAATTGTCAAGGATTTGGAATGGAATGACTTCGATAAACATTAGGAAGGTCAATTCCTTTAGAATATATGACAGACAAGAGCACACTAAAACGAAACTTAGGGGTGTATGTATTTGACTAAAGGCACAGGCCATGGGTACCAATACAAAACTCATTAAAATCATAAAGTTATTATGGTAATCAACAGAATGTATAAAAGTTTGGTGAATGTAACCTAAGAGATCCGAACATTTTAGGTTCGTTAGATCACGTTGATGACTTGAAAGTGACTAGTGTTCATCTGGAACATTTCACGAAGATTTTTTCTGGTTAATGTGATAATAATTGTTGGTTGTTATAAAAAATGACATCAGTTGTTACAGAATGACTGAAATGCCCACAGGTACATAAATAGAAGGATAAACCTATGCATTAATGAACAGCTTCAAGATTTACCACCTAACATCAACACAAAAATATAACATAAGCAGAAGGTAACAACAAGAACGAATAAAACTTTAGTACCAAAGATCAAACAAAGTCAATGAAGGACAGTAGAAATGACTGTTTCTCATGTTCTAGCCTTGTAGCATTTTGAATAGCTGGCCAAAAAAGACAATAAGTGGAAAATAAATGGAAGAACGATGGCTATCTTAGCAAAAATTTTGTTAACCTCTAACTTTTACGGACAAAAACAAAATTTGGAAGAAAAGTAGATTATCTGAAGTTACTCTGTTAGGAAAATGGATATTTTGGTAATACTGAACGATAAAAGTCGACTATTTGCTTTTGAGGTGAGACTATCATTTATGATAGTGATCATGAGAGTAAACAACTACTAATAAGGACTAAATGAGGGTTATAAAGTAGTTAGAATTCTCATTTACAGTTGATGGTTAAGGTTAAAAATTAGATTTATGGTTTTTATCACGAAGTGACATCAATTATAATACCAAAAATATATTTAGCCAAATGTATAGATGAACTCCGCGCCCGAATTCGTGACTTGTTATCTTTTATCTGATTGTTTGTTTATAAATTATAGTCTCGCCGCCTTTGATTAAAGCCAATTAGCTTTTAAAAGCAAGGTGTTTATTTCGGTAACTCTGCTCAGAGAGAGAATTTTGGTATGAATCCTCCGTATTTTCCTCGATCGGCGCAAAAGACAAGTCGATATCCACAGCAAATTCAAGGCATGTAGCCAATATTTACCCTAAACTCCTGCTGTTCGACGGAATGAATCATTCTAAAGTTCGAGTTTTACGAATGACCTTAATGTCCATCGAGGTTTTTAAATGCATAAAAATATTTGAAAAACACTATTGTTTAGTAAAAATTTATATGGGCATTATCCAACTTACCTAGCAAGCGATAACAACTGAAGCACTTGTACCGCGCGGAAGAACGGAGTTCAATGATCATCAATTCATATGGTTCAAATGGTTGTGGATGAAATAGAAGAAGCTTTCGCCTAACAGGCTTCCGTGTCTAGTAGCAGGGCATCATCAAATCCTCCAGGCAGGAACCTAGGTATGTTAACAATAAAAGAGGAAAAAGAAATTGGTAAATCATAGTAGGATGCTATCCTTAGTCTTTAAGAATAGATCAAGTTGCCTATTAAAGGACAACTGGAAAGTCGCTTGAACTAACTCGGCCGGCAGTGAATTCCAGCATTTGACAACTCTTAAGGAGTAGAAGTTGTGTCTCCAATTTCTGGGTGTTACCTCTTCAGTTAGTGTTGGAACTAAGCTTGAGTAGGTGTTTGAGAGGATGTCCAGAAGTGTTAACGATGCTGCAAGCCATCAGAAGGTCACCGCTAAGACGTCTATACTCTAATGGGTAAAGGTTAAGTGAATGGAGGCGCTCTTCGTAAGGTTTAAATTTGAGTCCCCGAACTGATTTCGTGGCTCGCCGTTGAATACGCTCCAGGGTGTCCTTATCCTTTTGGAGTGAGAAAGGAAATACTATGTTTCCGTACTCTAGATGTGGACGGATGAAACTAATGAATATTATATGGAAAGTTCTTCCGTCAAACTGGCCAAAAATGCGCTTCAATGTTACTAGTGCAAGGTTTGCTCGGAAGGCATTTTTGTCACAGTTAGCGTAAGACTTTAAATCGTAGGGCACCAAGACTCCTAAATCTTTTTCGACCTGAGATACTACTAGAGGGGAGTTACCTAAGTTATAACTGTAGTCTGCGATATGTTGCAGATGGACTACTTTACACTTTGAAGTGTTAAAGATGAGTCCGAAAAGTAAATATTGTTGTTTCATCGGTCCCATGTCTCGATATTTATAGAAATTACCTATGTTATATGATATTTGTTTATATCCATTTACTGAGTAAATTATCTATTCCACATTTGTAGATTAACCATAAAGTGACAGATTCAGTTTTCAGTAATAAGGATATTAGGTTGTTGAACCTGTGCGCAATCCTGACAGATTGCCTTCCAGTAAAGGTCCAGTTTCTCCTTGAAAATATTCACTGATGGGGCTGATACCACTTGTTCGGGTAAGGCGTTCCAATCGTTAACTACTCGATGTAAAAAACGGGACCCTACTTTAAGTTTATTAGATCGCGGTTTATGAACCTTCTTGTTATGACCTCGGAGATTATTAGTGCTGAAGGGAGCAAAAAGATAAGACACATTAACACCCAAATCATAATTAAAGATACGAAATGCTAGTATAAGGTCACCTCACATCCTACGATACAACAGGTGGAAAAGGATTAGGTGTTGTAAACGCTCATCGTAAGGAAGTTCAGAAAGACACTTCACTGGTTTCGTTCTTATACGCTGGATACGCTCAAGTGAGTTAGTATCCTTTACCAGACATGGGCTAGCTGCTTGGATACAGTACTTTAAGTTTGGTCTTACATAGGTGGGATATAAAATTCGAAATATTTCCTCGTCAAAAGATTTGAACGCTCGGTGAAGTGACCATAACGCACGGAAACCTTTGATAGCGGCTGCATTGCAATGCGTAGTTGTTTTTAATTCATGGTTTGTTATTATTCCTGAGTCTCTATGTTCTTGAACACATGGAAGAGGTTTATCAATAATAGTATAATGGGAACTATTATCTTGACCGATATGCATTAGCACGCTCTTCCCAGAATTGATTTCTAAACCTCACTCTCGAGGCCATCTAACTAAATTGTCTAAGTCAGCTTGAAGATCCAGATGATCATCCTCACTTTTATTGTTCTCCAGATTTTTAGGTCATAT